AAGCATCCTCACTCCGTTGTCATTCACTTTGTCTTCTCCGTGCTGCCCGATCGCCTGTCCTCTACTGGAAGCTTTTCCTACTCTTGAGTTGAAATCGCCCACCATGACAACTTCTCCCTTCCTGATGAATCTCTGGACAGTCCCCCAATTTGTCCAAAGTTCTCCTGCGCCTTGCTTGCGACTTTCTTCGACGACGGTGGGACGTATACGTTCCCGAGTTTCTCGCCTCGTTCCCCCGGTATCTTAAGCCATAGGCTTTCCTCGAACTCCGTTTTCACCACTACTTCCACCACGTCAAATAAGTGTTCCTTGACCAGGAATCCGACTCCCCCCTCCCCCCTTTTCTTCGGGTCTAAGCCTTTTCTTGCCTTTCCTACCCACCGGTATTGCCCTAGTTTGCTTACCACGTCCCCATCCTTCAATTCACACGTCTCTTGGATCCCCACTACATCTAGATCGCTTTGTTCTACTTGGTCCACTATTTCCAACCGCTTGCGCTCACTCCTTGCGAACCCGCACACGTTCCACGACCCGACTCTCAGCTTGCGCTTTCCCCTATTGGAGATTTTGCGCACTCCATCGTTCGCCTTGCGCTTCTTCTCGGACTTCTTCTGACTTGCCCGCTTGCCTCCCTCGCTCGGTCCTCTCTTCGCCGCCGTCGCCCTCGCCTCTTGTCTCCTTACCTTCTCTGTTTCTATCATGTTCGCGATGCAAACCCTCCATCCAAACTTCCTTACGTAGTTCGACAGCTTCTCGATATCAACCCCCAAGCACTCTTGGCTGTCTCCCTTGGTCAATTTCACCCGGAAGTGTTCATGTTCTCTGCCTACTTGTCCCCTTGCTAGGCAGTGCAGTCCCTCCCTGTCACAACAGTTCTTGAACTCTATCCTCGTCATGTCCCTTGGAATCCCAAACAGCAGCAGCTCCAACTTGTCTCCCTTCCACAGTTTCTGCTTCCATCCTCCCGGCTTCTTCACCATCCTCATGATCTCCACGGCAACTGAACCGTGGCCACTTGTTTTTCGTGTTTTGCAGGAAGGTATACGGAATACTCGGCCGTCCCAATCCGAGTGTCCGGTGGGGGTTGTGGTTCCTTTCAGTTCTTTTGCCGGCTCACCGACGCTAAATAGCGCCTCCAACATAGGCTCGTAGTCTAGATCCAAGTTCACACCTCCTGACACAAGTACCCCAGTCTTGTGCCGGGCGCTCTGCTTAGTT